TGGGTGGGGTGACATGGGTGTCAAACTGGGAGCGGACAATACAGGAAGAGAACTAACCATGGGTCGAGAAGCGCTGGGTGAGGTGATGAAAGAGAATGGAGAGGTGTTTGCAAAATTCTGTGCATTCAACGATTTGGTGATTGGAGGCATGGTGTTCAAGCACCGGGATATCCACCAAGCCACATGGATTTGATTTCACCAGACACTGCGACACACTAAAAATCAGACCGTCTTCATCTCAATCTCAAGAAAGTGGGGACCCAACCTACTTGACACAACGTCAAGAAGAGGAGGATATGAAGGCTCAGACCACCGTCTAGTGTGAGGAACCGTCAAAATCAAACTAAAAGCCTTCAAGGAAGTCAGTGATAGACCACAGTTCAAGTTCAAAGCCAAGAACGGATATCGAACTGAAGGGCGAAACTACAAAGGACATCTTCACGTCAGCCGTCAAAACAAAATGGGAGATATCGAGCAACATCCCTAAAGAAACCTGCAGGGATGAGCACTGGAACTTTTTGAAAGCTGTATGGAAAGAAACTCGCATGAACGCATTAAGAAGGAAGAGGAAAGAAGATAAGGAATAGATCTTGATGGACACATGGAAGCTGATAGAGGTAGGAAAAAGATGGTGAAGCAGGAGATGAACCAGGTTAGGATGCTCAAAGAGAGGGAGGAGGCCCAACCAACCACACCAACAACAAACCCTAATCATCATCAACGGGAGAAACTTAAAGGAAGTAGCCTGTTTCACCTACCTAGGTAAGGCAGCCTAGTTTCGATTCTGGATGCCGGCACAGGCAGGGATTTCAAAGCAGCCGGGATCGGAAAGACAGCAAGACAACCGTTCATTAACCTGAAACCAATGTGGAGATCTTCTGCACTCAGCATATGGAATAAGACTCGGATTTTCAACACCAACGTCAAGTCACTGCTTCTATATGGCTCAGAGACTTGGCGCGTTATGAAAGGCATTTCTAACAGACTACAGAGACTCATCAACAACTGCCTACGCTGGTTCGTTACTGAAGCTCAGGTGGCCAGAATTATGAGAATAAGCAACAAGGAATTCTGTCTGATGATAAGCCAACGAGGAACCTATCGCTCAACAAATATGCGGAAGAAGGAAGTGGAGATAGATTGGGCATGCACTGAGAAGGCCGACTGGGACGTAACGCGCCAGGCCAGATACACGAGGGGAACCCCGATGGGAAACAACGAGTTGGTCGTCTGAGGCGAGGGCGATATGGAGGAGATTGTGTGAGGAAGAAATGAGAGCTTGTGGGCTGTCGTGGAGCCAGGTTCAAAAGATTTCAGAGAGCAGAGTGGAATGGAGACGTGCCACTGAAGCCCTATGTTCCACTAGGAGCCCAAGGGACAAATAATAATATAATAATGGGTGAATAACTGTGAGAAACTTGGTCCGTAGTTTCTGTCTTGCTCTGATCAAGCAGATAACTTGAACGGAGCGTAGATCCGACCGGCTTGGATTTTTCGGTGAAAAGCAAATAAAACATGTAACTAGACGTGGAAATGCCGCTCTTTTTTCAAAATGTGCTCTGTAATAATTATTCATTTCGTAGTTAGTATTCGTCGTAGACTGACAGTTGGATGGCGGTTGCTCTATATCGTGAACTGACAAAAGTTGAAAATATGAACCCCTGGATTCCGACCCAGTGGCTCAGTGGTAACGTGCTGACCACGAAACTTGAATATGGTGGGTTGGATCCCTGGAGGGTGGGGTCTTGGGCGTGCACTTCTGAGGATTCCCATACTAGGACGACATGATCGACTATCCAGTGCTCCCGGGTTCCCATTGTTCCTTCAACTGATGTCAGTCTGCAATGGATGGGCCTAGAATTTACAGTCCGCTCCAAAAGATAACTTAAGCAGATGTACAATTTTACTATTATTCAATGTGACATGTGTCTCATTGCCGGAGAATGATACATTAAATATGCATGTAGGTGAATAGCATGAATATCCGCACATTCTCTAAGTATAATACTTGAAACACCATTATGACTTAGGCTTTGGAGGTGAGCAAAAGGATTTAAGACATTTGGAACATTGAAACTAACTAGATCAACGAAAGATTGGCTGGTTTGGAAAACTTGTTACGCAGTCTGAGGTCACACGTTTCTTATTGAGTACTGTGGTTGCATGGTCTTCAGCAATAAGGTTAGTAGGCCAACTTGTCTTGCTTTAATACTTAGGATAAATTCCACTGTTAAGATCTAGTTGTACCTTTGTTGAACTCACCTTTGGAGCTGATATCACTTCTTCGTGCGGGAGTCCCAGTTGCGATTTGAACTTTCTTATGAAAAATAGTGGATTCTTGAATAGACGAAGAAGTGAGATATCAGTTCTAAAGTCATGAACTAGAGTACAGAATTTTACTGATAGGTATCACCTTCAACTTAGATAAGCGAGGTTGAAACGTTTGGACCTTCTAAACCATCCTGAAGGAGTAGCTTAGTCAGATTAACCAGTAACTTCTGGCTAAGTCTTTGGACACCCTCCATTTCTGTAGTCTCTTTTACGAGGCAAGAATCGACCACCTGAATGTAAAATTCGTAGAGTTGTGGTATAATGTGAAGCACAGTACTCGAAAAATGTCTTCATCGGAGCACTTGAAAACTCTGCGAAGGGATCACTCTGCTCGTAACTTTCGCTGAAGCGGCATTACTATGTGGAAATAACTTGAAGTTGCAGCTGAGTAGAACTCTCAGGGTTACAATGTCTTGGACGTCAGATATTGGTGTCCCATCTACTAGAAGCTGATGGCCAGTGGCGTAACCAATGCGCATAAATGCACATTTGGTACTGTTTATGTCCAGACACCAACGACTGAACAACTTAACTGGTTTATTTAGGCCAGCTTGTGCCACACATCCATCGTCATCATTACCCTTCACATTTTCATGCCCTAGGTTTATAATAAGCCTTAGCGGTCCGTTGATAAAGAGTTATAAAAGGAGAAAACCTGGGATCATTCTATGGGAAAATGCAGTCCTCACAGGCTTTTGCTTTCACGGCGTTCTGCTGGCTGTAACCATTCGTCACCTGTGTTACAGAAATTCTTACATCTAGGCCTTTATCTTGGTGTCAGATAAGAAACTTCGGGGCTACTTTTTTAGTCCAGCGTGGAAAACGTGGCAGAAACCCTCGGTGAAACCAGTGAAGTCGGAATTTACGAACTTCCTTTGTCACAAGCTGCACATATTTCTTTCTTTCTATGAGGAGGTTAGTTAAGGAATTTAGACCTCAGTGGAACCAATATCGTAGTGATGTTAGAAGACTGACTTTCGACATGACTGAGCCCCCGTCCCTGACAACCTTTAAGAGCGCTTTAAGGACAATACTAGTGGGGCTAGCATGATATTAATTAGATGCGACATGCCTGTGTCTAGAAAAATAGGTAGATTATGGGATATTTCCGTTATCCAATGCTTTGAGTCTTATTTAAAGACATGCTAAAGAGTTCATTAGGCGGATTCATAATGATGTCTGTTGGAAAAGATAACACCCTTTAGTCAGAGAAACCAAAGTCATATGGTCTTGAGGGTTGGGGCACTTTGTCCATTGGTGGAGCGTCTACGGTAATGACTGTCACAGTAATAACATCTTGATCTACTGAGAAAACTGCGCTTAAGTGGTAAGAGAGACATCCAACTTCCAATGGATTAAGCTTGACCAACTCCTTGAGACTCTTGGTTGAAAGATGAAATAAGACTCCATCCTAAAGCTTCGTTCGCCTTTCGGCATGCAAGAGCAACCGTTTTGGACAGATCTGACGGTCGATCACAAACTGTTATGTTGTCCTAAGCCTCGTAACACTCGATTAGTACATTTCCACGACCTTTTGGTATGCAGTCTTACAAAATTCACCACTTCTTTCTAAGAACGAGTTCCACAGTCGTTTTCTGCCGAGTAGAGGTCTGGATGTGTTGTTAGCAGGTAATAGTGGTTAGGGGGAATGCATAACCTGATTTGGTCATGTTGTAAACGGGGAAGCGACATCGTCAACTGTAGCTCTTAAGTTTTTTTGGACCTCCCCTATAGACACGATGCGATTTCCAGTCCAGTTTAATGTAATTGTACACTCATCGATAGCCCGCATGCCTACGCGCCCTATATCCCAATCAGCGGGGAAGGAATAATAATCTAAGTCGTAAGCGCACAACTTGAGTGGTATTATTGCTCGGTCCTCATTGGTTAACGGAGATAAGTGGTGCACATTTTTATTACCGTTTGTCCTTCGGGTTTCTAGTGGAACATAGGGCTTCAGTAGCACGTCTCCATTTCACTCTCTTCTCTGCAGTCTTTCGAAGCTGGCTCCACAGCTGCCCAGAAGCTGTATGTAAGTTAAGTTTTCTCTGTGTGTGTAGGGGGCAAGTCCTGGAGTGGTGGCTTGCGCTTTATACTAAAACACGTTGCAATGACACCATTTCGAACCAGAGCACTTTCTAGGATCGACAAAATTAGAATACTGTCAAAGCAGTTACTTGGATCTGGAGATGTGATGTACCTAGCTTGTTGCTTGACAGACTCTTCTACACTTACTCCACTCAAATATGGGGTCAAACGTAGTGCAATCTGCTACGCAATATGGAATTCAGTAGGTTACCCCATTATGGTGTTTGCGTAAACGATGCTTACCAACGTAGGTTTTCGAAGCATTCATTCAAGACACCTTACTATATAAAGACTCATGGGGCCTAATACTTTCTTCTCTTCTCCATTTCTCAGTCCAAAGCTCTGTTGAAGTCGGTCTTCGCACTTCGTTTTCACGAGACTAGCCCGGGCTAATGCTAACATTTAAGTCAGGTACCTAGAAAGTGTTAGTGTGTGATTCCGAACAAAAGACATGAAGTCAGCACTTATTGTGTCGTCCAGAAGATATTCTGGCCTCAGATTTAAATATTTTGCGGAATGTTTTGTATTTTTTAAAAACGTTTACTGTTTGTTTGTACTTGTCACTAACTGTTCTCTGTTTAAAATAACCTTGAAACTATATAAACCCCGTATACTGTTTCTGCGCAGATTTTTAAGGATGGCGTCTCTAAGCTGTGGTTATAAATGTTTGCAGATTTTTTTGGTCATTTTCAATATTCTTGTGTTTGTGAGTTATAAAAATGCATGAAGTTACATATTATTCATTAAGGCTTGTGGCATTGCTTTAATAGTCATTGGGAGCCTCGCACAAGTTGCCATTAATAAGTATTCTGCAGGCATCGATACAAACGTAAAGGGACTGGTGATCTTTATTATCATACTGGGATGTGTTGTTTTCCTTCTTGGGTTTCTCGGATTTTGTGGTGCATGCACGAAAAATGTCTGCTGTCTTACAATGGTAAGTTCCTATATATGAGTTTGAATGCAAGTTTAGTATGCTATCTTCCTGTCAGTGATAGTCGCAGCAGAAATTGGGGCAGGAATAGCTGCTGTTGTGCTCAAAGAGGATGTTAAACAACACTTTGCGGCAGTGGTGAAAAGCTCTATCTCAGAATACAGTAACAATCCTGAACTCAAGAAACTGCTAGATAAAATACAGTCGGAGGTATGTCCCGGTTTGTTATTAACTGCTTCAGTTCAAATGCTGTGGCTCTCAATCATCTGCTGATTATACCACGACAGGACAAATGGCTCCATCTTCTTGTAAGGATCCAAAAACTGGAGTCACCTATACAGAGGTAAGTAAAACGAATTTATTGAATTTGGCTCATTGTTGTGATTGTCTGCATCATCAAAAAACGTTTTACTCACACATACTGGGTAAAAGCATATAAGGGGGGAATGAGTTCCAGTCTTCTATACATGGAGGTGTTCAAAATTGTCTTTTCAGTTTGACTAAAGGCGAAGCAGTTCTGTGTACTGATACTAAATTTAGATTTGCAAATTAGAGTGCTAAATTTGACTTTAAGTATGCACTTAAATCTGATCAGCAGCTAATAATGAAGTTTCAAGCTTACCGTTATGTGTCTTTAACGGAGACTTGAACTAGTAAGGTAATTACCGGTATGGTTCCAAATAATACTGGATTCTCAAATATTACTGTTTTACCGTGTGATGTATATCATCAACAACTTAAAATAGAATCACAATCTATCAGTCTGCTTAGGTTTTACCCCTACGTATCTCTCTCATTTATTTAAGCAGTGTTTATACCGATCCATGCTGCTCTGTGTCAGACACTAATACGTAACGTTCTACTAGTTTAAATTCACTGAAAGTTTTCGCTTGTTCGAAAGAATGTAAGTGAATCATCAGATGACTCTGACTGAGTATTTTAGCAACTGGTTCCAATACCAGGACAGTCTTCTTATCTGTGCAAGAAGTTAGGCGCCAATTTAGACAGGTATGAGATTACAATCTTCGTGCTGTAAATTATTATACCAACTGTTTACCAAAAGTTTAGGTTGTGAAATACTGAGTGATTAGCGGAGGAATTACTAGTGTTCACAGAAAAGCTCACTACTGCTATCTAAAAGACTGAGTATTTGCTTAGTTAAGTGCCTTTAAACATTTTATAATGCACTTGGTTGACTTATGCTGAGATGTAATATTTTTACTACAGATAATGAAAAAAACTTTCATACACCGAACAAAAAGTTCTTAAAAGCGATACATGGTACCTACTTATTTTTGTGGACACAAACTATATTTGGAGGACCCAATAAAGTGATCGAATACATAATCAGACACAAAAAAGATGCTGCTTCTTAGGAGACATAAAAATCAGTTTTTTACACATCTTAAAATAGGTAGAAAGTAGGTTTAACGGAATTATTAAAATTCCTCATTGGATTATTTTGACAGTTTGTTAGTCTGATAGAACGAACAGTGATGCATGTCAGTGCATGACAGTTTATTCACGAGTTACTAATTCTTATCATAGAAAGTAACCATACAACTTTCTAAATTCTATAAAATCGAACAGTTCCTCAGCCATGTATAATTATTGGTGATAAAAAAACTCCTCAAATATCTGCGGTGCGTTGTGGAATTTTCCTTTTGCATGTGTAAGGTTTTAACTGAGATAAAGCAAATTAGTGGGGGCAGCCTACCAGAGTCAGTCAAGACAGCAGAGCCCAAAAATTGAGCAAGATATAAAATGATAGACCCTACTAGGGTATATAATCGGAACAAAATCTTGACTATCGCCATGTATCTACTGATTCAGATTCAAATCGTAGGTTGAGACTAGATTATAATATGAATAAGAAAGAAAAGATTGGCTACTGAATCTTTCCTAATTGAGTCAACACCTGTTGCTGGTAACAAGAATTACTTACAACAAATTTCAGACATGGAAAATTCTACTGGCACTAAAAGTATAAGAAATCACGGGCTGTTCAACTGTGTAAAGCTAGCTGGAAAGTTATATGACAACTTCAATATTATAACGAGAGTTTATCTCAGCCTGACTTGTAATGCATTAACTAATACTATTTCATTTACTTTATGCTGCATAGAAAAACTGACCTCCACAAAAGCGCGGAATGGAATTCGGAAAAGTATTCAAAACAACAACTAACTAACATGTGTGGTACTCAAAAAGGAGTTTCAGATATTTCTTTAAGGTCATGAATGATGTTGAAAAGGGACGTTTTGTGCATGCTAGTTCTATATACGTCACAGGTTCATCACACCGTATGCTAGGTTTTGTACGACTGAACAGGTCAAACATTCGTGGTAATGACTAGTCTAGCAAGATGTTTCAAGGAATGGAAACCCATGTTAAACCTTCTATAACCTGGTCCCTCAAACAATTAGGGCATCCTTTCTCTTTTCACTGATTTCAACTGGAAGAAGTATATGGCTTTTAAAGTCGTCGCGTAGAAAGTTATACATTGGAATCCATGAATAGGTATGTGTGAACAGTACCCACCTAGTCTCTGAATTGATCGCTATGAAACATTGCATTAAATAAGGCACTTGTACACTCATATTTGTAGAAATAAGACTTTGTCACTGTATACTTGAAGGAAGATTCACAAAACATTCACATAAGTTGCCGGTGTGAAATGGAGGGCTACGAAAACATCTCAGTTTCCAATTTCGGCATAACTGGATGAAGTCATACATTAGTTTTGCTTTAAAAGTGTCAACAGAAGGTGTTGAGATCGCCCGTGCTAGTACAGAATTCTAACCATTTTATAACATGGAGCAATAAAGGAACCTTTATTTGAAGGGAATTCGATTCAAATTTTCTAACTTCAATATCATGTCCTCTTATATGATATGTTATACAGTGGAGAAAAAGATTGGATAAACCTTCGCCTAAACCATTACTTAGTGGATGGAATGATAATAAGACATCTACTATCCGTTGCCTATCACGAAGATGAAAAACACGTAAACGATACAGTCACTCTTCGTACGAAAAACCTAAAAGTGGCCATACTATTTTAGTTCATACCCTTTGAATCCGTTAAAAAATATCTGTTTCCTATTCGAAACATTTGTTTACTTCTTGGATTCCATCATATGAACTAGGACTGATTTATGTCAGGTATAATATTCAAAACACATTCCCACTAAAGCAAAAAAAAACACATCTTACTAACGAACTATAAGATGCAAGACGCTTAGGCAGATGATCTTCAGCAGTTTGCCCTGGTTTTAGATTGGTGGATTAAACTAATCCATGAATCAGTATTTTCTGAAACCTTGGACATTATCAATTTATCAGACAGGTATGCATATAGATTGTTGTGAACACTATGTGTAACTGCACTTTTGTTTGTGCCGAAAAGTAACATATCACAATTGTAAGGCCACTATCTTTCGCATCTATTAACTACAGTGTCTTCAGGATAGAAATGTGAAGTATTTTTATGGCTTGGAATTTTTAAATGTCAGATAGGCAGTGCAAGGAAGGCAACTTGTATTTCAGTAGAATTCTCATGAAACTGTAGATTCATATTGCTTAACCAAAGAGCTAGAGCAGATATGCAGAAAACACTTTCTATTGGTTATATTTCATGCTGTCGATTTCGTAACGAACCTGAAATGAAGCATTTTGGGAGTGCTTTTCGAGAATAAAGACAGGATCATGGTTATGGGAATCGTCTGATAATATTTACTCACCTTATTGTACGTTGTTGAAGTTTGCAGCATAGTTCATTGAAGTTAGGTGAATTAAGCAATAGTCTGTGCCTTTCATATCTTAAGTTTATTGTTATTATTATTTGTTCCTTGGGTTCCTAGTAGAACATAGAGCTTCAGTAGAACGTCGCCATTTCACTCTCTTCTCTGCAGTCTTTTCAACCTGGCTCCATAACTGCCCAGAAGCTTCAATTTCTTCCTCATATGATTTCCTTCATGTCGTCACCCTCCGACGCCCAACTCATCGTTTCTTTCTTGTATTCCACTCGAGGGCCTGGTTTTATGGGTGAGGGTTGCTAGCTCTATGCTCAACCTTCCCTCTTTATTCTATCTTAGGACCGGCCAGTAACTAGTGAACTGGTTACCTAGGCGAGGTTATATCTCAAGTTTATACCTCTTTTATATTCTATTTTTGTTTAAATAGGTCTCAGTTTTTTGTTTGTTGATATTCTGCAACTAAAACCATCGGGGAACTAATCTCCTCTAAGAGATTTAGGCCTAAACCGCCCAATACTACAGACGGAGACGTTGCCAGTTAGTCATTTTATCCGGGACTGAGCTTCTATAAGTTTAGATTAGAAACATTGACTGCTAACTGGAGAATAAGCGGTTTTATGTTGTTTAGTTTTAAGTTCATAAGTTTCTAAGGCAATGAAGACTGCACATAGAATCTTCACTTCTATACATTTCAACCCAGTATAGCAACGGGAAATTATGAACATAGAAACTAACAACTGATACCCAATGCATAGTAGATGGCTTTCACGCTCTGGTAGTCTATTAAGTAACGTTTTGAGATTTAGATATCTAAGCGCTTGTTTCGAGTTCTAGTGACAACAACATCACTTAGTAGGCTGCATATACATCTGACTAATGAGATCTAAGCAGAACAAACCACATATCCTCACTTCCATAACTAATCACTAGGCTTAAGCATTTAATTCAACCCCCTCAAAATTCAATTGAACTGGTGCTCATTGGTGAATAGCTTCAAAAGGTATTCCTGAAGTTCCAATGAGAAGTCGTGACCGGTGGTGGCAAAGCCTGATGATCGTGAGGACAGTTATTCAACAATGACATTGAGTAGCGGTCGGGCTACATCGTGAGCTAACAGAAGTTGTAAATATGAACCATTAGATTCCGACCCAGTGGCTCAATGGCAACGTGCCGGCCACGGAACTCAAAGGTCGTGAGTTCGATCCCTGGTGGGGTTGTGGGTACGCACTGCTGAGGAGTCCCATCCTAGGACGAAACAGCTCCTATTCAGTGCTCTTAGGTTTCCAGTGTTCCTCCAACTGATGTCAATCTACGATGAATAACAACTTGAAATATTTCCAAATCTCCACAAATCCCTCAAAATTTAATTCAAATTTCTTTCAAAGTAAATAAACTCTTACAATAAACTTATGGCTTACCATTTTTTTTTTATATTCAGGGGTGTTCAGATAAAGTGATTGCCTTCTTTGAGAAATATTTAATTGCTGTTGTTGTGGCAGCATTTATATTCGCTATACTACAGTTATTGTGTATTGTATTCGCTGTCTGTGTTATACGAGCTATCAAGTCTGGTGATTCAGCGTAATAAAGAGAACAGTTAAAATAAAAGACATTATGAAAAGAAGAAAGAAAAAGAAAGTTTCTCTCTTTTTTATTCTTTTGAAAAAATAAACACAATTTTCCATGTGATAGAATTCTTAATTTTTATTTTTACTTAACTGTTATACGATAATTCTTATTATCCTTCTTCTCCTTTATATCGTTATTATTATTACTATTATTATGCGGAGAAGGAACTTTGTATTTTTCTGCCAGAAACTTATCATGAAAATTTTAAGCTTACCTATGGGGTGGGTTTGGGAGACGGAAGTGAAAAATAAAACTCATATATTTTATACTTTTGGTGTACTTTTTTTTCTGTTTATTTACCAATTAGCTTGTCTTTTTTTCTAAGTTACTCAATCAAGAGGGCATAAAAAGGAAGCTGATATATTTGGTGATGCTAAAACTGCTTTAAATGCGGGTGTATCTAGACTCGCTACAATATGAAAAGAAGATAGAAAGTATGAAGAGATGTTTAATTGAATGAGATGTATTTCTGAGACTCTTCAGTTATCGAATCTTAAGAAGCTGGAACTCTCCTAGATGTCTCAGTTGAATATAAAATGTTCTCAGATTATCTTTTCATCAACATAAACTTTGAATAGGAAAATATCAAATTTCTGATGCCTTATAAGCTGATATGTGTAGAGTTTCAATGACTTGAGAGAAGCAACAGAATCTCCTGATATTTATCGGTGCTCAATTAGAAATCAGAAGGATGAGACTGATGAGAATCTGAAGGTGCGTATTTTATTCTTCGGTGTCAGATTGCTGGTGTCAATTGACAGATGGCAACGGACTTAGGTTTCTAGGTGATGATCGGTGGGCCTCGATTAGTGCTGCCGAAATCAACGTAGATCCTCGTGCACAAGTACATCGAATCAAGTTGCCGCACTTCATAGCAGTATACAAAGATCAGGTGGATAGAAAAAGAGTGATATCAAACCAGATAAAGTTGTGTGAGAGAGTAAATAATCTGAAGAGAAAGGTTAATACAAGCATTCAGGTTTTAGAAGACGTCAAAAGGTGAATACATTTCCACCAATGGGATTGATTTTCAGCCATGCCACCGAGAGTCCTCAACCACTTATTATTTGTTTCTGGCATCCTAACCAGACAGTCTGCATCTCCTCAAATGACTCATACCAACAGTGAGAGACTTTACCGACTGGTGCCAATCTGAACCCTCCCCCAACTTAACCCAGCTTCAACTGGTATGGCACGTCGAGGTATGTGGTGGGTCACCATATGGACTGAGTTTCCAAGCCATCTCAGTCAGCTAACGTTGACAACCTGCCTTATCAAGTATCCTCCACCTGACTTCGGAATTACTTACACAATGATACCACCAAACGATCATTGCTGAGCACAAAGAACCAGATATCTATATACATTACCCCTGGTGACCACTTACAGCACATAATTCTGTCTTAAAAGGTCATTCATATCCTAACTAGCTTCACAGTTAAGGCCCTGACTTCAACACTAAATAGTGCAGGTTTTACTCAGCGAGGAGATACCACTTTCCTCATGGCTGCCGATATTCTTTGCTGATGAGTGCCAGCATGCAAGAAACCCGTGTCAAACAGCGTTCCATGCCATCTGACTCTCACTAATTAGCACAATAATACAGTGCATCGTATTACTATCTCATTTCGCTTAGTGCCTACAGTGAAAAACTTTATCGATAGACTCATATCAGAGCTAAGCACTCATGAAAAAACAGCTACATCAGTTGTCAATTGGTGACCAGTTCGTAAATTGCTCTTTCTAACCTCCTAAAAAGAAATTAAAACGGAGTACAGTGAGTGATATCAGTTAATTCTCTATGCTGGATATGAACAGAGGTAATCACCAATCAAAATTTTGCACTGTTTCAGTGTTTCTGTCTACTTGGGCTTAAGAGTCTACATTCGTTTACATAAGTCAAAGTGTTCAAAGATCAGTGTGTTGATGTTAACTCCTGATGTGATCACTTTTAGACAAATAATTATCGAATTCATTCAAGGTTACTTTTCATAAACTTGTTTACAACTGGACTCAATAGGTTTAAGACTATTTAAGTTTTATAGACATTTACTCCTTTCCATTGAACAGTGGCTGGGACTTCTTTATCGAATAAACTGGTAACTAATGTAGGCAAATAAGTAAGTAAACTGTGCGTGAAAAAACCTCATAATATCGTTTCTAGGTGAATTTCGTTAGACATTCATTTGTCTACGACTACTTCCACTATACATAAATATATTTCTGTACCACAGTCTAACTGAACACAACTGTAGAAATGTTTTTAGCTGTAAGGAATTATTTCTTAGCACTCAGTGACTGATGAATATCTGGACAGTCAAGCTATTCATCGATATGAAACACTACGGAAAATTTCAATAGATTTGAAAATTTGGACAAGTGACTTCTTTGAATGTGAAATTAATGTTTTTCCAGATATTAGTTGGATGGAGGCAATAGGCAAGAATCCCTGAATCTAGGTTTTATGGTTTCTGATGTTCGTTAGCAAGGTTATTCTGGATATGACCGACCTCTTGTAAGACTGAATTAGACACACTGATTGATCACTGCGGGGTAACCAACTTCATGTTGTCCAGTTCTAAGTGCTGATCAATTTTATTGGTCATTTGCAATTTGGCCATCAAGCTAGTTGACTCAACATTGTGATAGACTTTGATAGATGTAAGTTGGATACTTCTGCATTAAATTAAATTGGATATTAGAGATTTTATTTTCCCTTGTTGAATGGTTCGAACTGATCGACTATTATTGACATATGGGCTCCTATGTGAATGTCTCGACATTACCATTATTTTCAGATTCCATATTACTAGTGGATAATGGCTATCAGTGAAATTGAGGGAACGCATTTCATCCCGCTAGAGAACCCTCTGCTTGATGAAGTTGCTTTCCGATGACTAATGTTTTTCTCACTAAAACTGACACCCACGACGAATCACTTCAAGCGCCAGAGAGTTTTATCCACTAGAATGCTAAGTCACGATAGCAACTCCTTTTGTAATGAGTGTAATATATTTTGTATATTATACCTTGTAATCTAAAAATACCTACAATCTAGAGTCATTCGTAAAGGAGCTTATATATAAGTAATAAACACTAAATTTAGCCTATTCAAGGGCGGGAAAACTAGAAACTGAAACATCTGAAGTATACCATACCCTTCGCACAAGGAACAGCTGTCTTAACTCAATGGTCTAGTGGGTAACAACGCGGTGTTTGTGGCTACTAATCCTGGCTTCAGGCCTAGTGGGAACAACATTACTCACTTCGAGTCAGTTATATCGGTCTGATGAGTCGCAAATGGTAAGAAACAGTCATCCTGAATAGGACTGTTAGATACAATCTATCATTCATATCAAACTTTAGTATAAACTTTGTCATTTTTACAGAAAATCAGATTAACTATATGTTCAGCACTATATGTTCATGCACTGAGAAGGCGACTGAGGACATCACGCGTCAGGCCAGTTGCTCGAGTGGAATCCCCATGGGAAGCGACGAGTTGGACGTCCAAGGGTGACATGGAGGAGGTCGTGCGAGGAGGAAATGAGAGCTTGTGGGCTGTCGTGGGACCAGGTTCAAAAGATCTCAGAGAACAGAGGTCACTGGAGACGTGCTACCGAAGCCCTATGTTCCACTAGGAACCCAAGGGACTAATAATAATAATAATAAAATCCATTTATATTGTCAAGGTAAGCTTCAAACTGAATACAACAAAACAGAGATAAGGCTGAAGTTAGCTTAAAACATGGGATTTTGAAACAGAGAAAGATCCAGGGAAGTCAGCTTTTGTCTTCTTTAGGTGTCGATTATTTCTGATGTTGTTTTTGTAAATTCTTCTTACTTTGTTCATATAAATAATCCCGTAGTTTGTTATAGAACTTATATACTGTTGAGATAAATGCAGTCAGTACATCTGAATGATGCAGTAATGCCATCATCAAAAGAAGGCTAGGAGTCATTCACTCGTACGTCGCAAAAGTCGAATATTATTCACAAATGCAGCCTTTTTACGCTGATTCAGTTTTACTAGTGAAGTAAACACGATCATCTAGTCAGTCAGTCAGTCAAAATTAGAACGTCATATGGTATTACTTCTTAGCGATTCATGTTGTCACACTTAAAAACCAGTGACAATAATCAAATCCAGTATGATAATTAGGATGAATACAATGTATAGATACATCTACGTCTATGTGATCGGATACGAGTCATGTTGCCTAGAGTTTCAAACATGGATTTTGGTTATTAGGCAGACCCCAGCAAGAATTCTGTATTCCCCATCACAGTTCACAACAACAGTCAAAGACCTAGTGAACTGATGAACAACATTACTAGGTGTTGGATCATTCAGAGGTGTGAATGAGTTTGAACACGTGCAGTTGAGCAAGGAAAATACCAACTTTATCACTATTATGTAAATTTCACTAAAACTTATTCGATGAAAACAGGATGGTTATCTACGAGTGACTACCAATAAAATTAACTGATATTATATTATGGTAGCATTCTGTTAGTACAGTAAATATTGTTTTTTCAATGCATAGTGTCTTGATTTTGTTTGTCTTCATCTGAATTTATCAGTAAACATCTAACGAAAATAGAACTATTCACTATGATATTCTACGGAATAAAATCAGTTGTCTGGAACCTTCAAAAGAAGTCAAACTACTTTCTCAGTACATTTTTGTTTATCGATTTGACCGAAGGGTTTATTGTGGCTCAACAAACCTTCATCTAGATTTACTATCGAACATATTCTGACTTCAAGCAGGTGGTGGGAAAGAAAAAACAACCAGAGACTGTATCACAAATGATAGCAGAAGTGTAATCTCCATGAACTGAAAAATGTCGGCTTCCGAGACAATAGTCATATCAATGACATTAAAGAATATCTGTGTCTCAAGCAGCTCCAGAAAAGTCTGCTACAAATTAATTCTCTTGAAAATACAGAATGATAGTTAGCAGGGATGTATTTATTTCTAAGCTTGCACAATTTTTTCTCTACAAGATTTTAATCAGTTTCATAACTCATACCTGCAGCTTATTTTCAGTTTGTTACTTCCTTCAATTATCTCTTCTTTTCTATCCAAAAAAAAAGTGCAAAGCTTATCATCGAGTTTCTGACTACTCTAAGTGAATCAATAACCTCTTTTATTTACTAAGCTTTCTATTCTGTAGTCTGGGGCTAGGGGTAGCTGGATTATAAGAGCTGAATCATTCATTTCTTGACAGTAGGTTTCTTGGATTATAAGGTGATTCATAGAT